CTGCTTGTAGAACTCACTATGGTCATTATGAGTTCTTAGTCATGCTTTTCAGGCTGACTAATGCCCTAACTATTTTTATGGATCTCATGAATCGAGTATGCAAACCCTACTTGGATAAACTCATTTTAGTTTTCATTGATGATATTTTGATCTACTCACAGACCAAGGAAGAGCATGGGTAGAATCTTCAAATGATCCTAAAGTAATTAAGGAAAGAAAACTTATACTCAAAATTCTTTAAGTGCGAATTTTGGATATGAGAAGTACACTTTCTAGGGCATGTGGTAAGCAGTAAAGGTATTCATGTCGACCCATCCAAGATCAAAGCGCTGAAGAGTTGGGAAGCACTGAAGACACGCACCGAAGTTCGTCAATTTTTAAGAATAACTTTTTATTATCGAATATTTATAGAAAATTTCTCTTGTATAAAAGAACCCCTCTTGACACTAACCTGAAAGAAAATAAAATTTGTTTGGGGAGATAAAAAAAAGAAGCATCTTTCCAAAGGTTGTAGGAAAAGTTGTGTAGTGTACCAATATTATCCCTCCCAGAAGGCATTGATGATTTTGTCATATTTTCGATGCCTCACATCAGGGTATGGGATTCGTATTGATTCAAAGAAGGAAATTGATAGCTTATGCCTCATGACAACTAAAGGTGCATGAGAACAATTACATCAACCACGACTAACTAGGAGCTGTAGTTTTTACTGTAAAATTTTGGTGCCATTACCTTTATATTACAAAGTGTATCATATACACTGATCACAAGAGTATACAATACATCTAGGCAAGGCTAATGTAGTAGTTAATGCCTTTAGTTGAAAAGAACAAGTTAAACCTCGAAGGGTTAGAGGACATACGATAAATATCCACTCTATTCTAATCTCGAAGATTAGAATTGCTAAGCTCAAGGATCTAATGAAAAAAATTAATGAAGAAGGCCTTAGAGGGACGGCTAGGCAAGTAGAGATTAAGAAGGATGGAATGAGATAACTCATTGAAAGAGTATGGGTTCCAAATGTTTGGGGTTGTTAAGAAGTTAATCTTAGAAGTAGCCTATAGGACTAGGCATTCCATTCATCCTGGAGTAGACAACATGTATCATTATTCACGAACACTTTGTTGGTAGCCAAACATGAGGGTAGAGATTGTCGATTATGTAAATAGATATTTAACTTTCTCCAAGGTTAATACAATACATCAATAGTCCTCAAGACTAGTACAACAACTAGAGTTACCTATGTCGGAGTGAGAGAAAATTGCAACGGATTTTGTGACCAAATTAGCTGATACTGCCACTAGTTTCGACACTATATGGTAATTTGTTGATAGATTGACCAAGTCTGTCCACTTCATACCAATAAAAGAAATGGACAAGAGGGTGAAGCTAACTAGTACATACCATAGATAGATTGTCAGATTACATGGTGTAGCTATATCTATCATCTCCATAGGGACAATAGATTTACCTCCCGATTCTAGCATGGTTTGCGGAAGGATCTTGGTACTCATTTGGATATAAGTACAACCTATCATCCCTAGATGGATGGCCAAAGTGAAAGGGCCATCCAAACACTAGAAGATATGCTCAGAGCATGTGTGATAAATTTTGGAAGTGCACGCGATACTCATCTACCCTCGTTTATAGAAGGCTCTTGGTACTCATTTCGATATGAGTGCAACCTATGATCCTTAGAATGATGGTCAATGTGAAAGGACCATCCAACACTGGAAGGTTTGCTTAGAGCATGTGTGATAGATTTTGGTATTGCATGGGATACACATATACCCTTAGTTGAGTTCTCATACAACAATACTTATCATACGACCATCAAGGTTGCACCTCTAGTCTCATATATGCAACCTATAATGTCCATCTTTTCTTCACTTTTGACTTATTTTTAATGAAAAAAAAATTCTAATTCTATTTGCGTTTCTCCACGGCAACTTGTTATGTATGGACCCTAGACCACATCTTATCAACAACAGCAGCCATATTTCAATCCAAACGTGCCACAGGTATTATTATTACTTAATAGTTAGTTGAAGTAAAACAATTTCTTTATAAAGTTTTGTGGAAATTAATTTTAAGACTATATAAATATTTGTATGACTAAGTATGGGCATCAAATGCTTCTTGGTCAACCCCGACAGATGGTTTACATTCCCACTTATCCTCCGGTAACAAACTCAACTTTTTAACATTTTTGTTTGATGCTTGATAACATTTATGTGTTTAAATAAAAATTTAAATTTGGTATAATATTCGACATTTGGTTTAATGTTTGATAACCATTTTTATCTAAATATACAAACAAAGCACTAAAAAAATAGATAAAAAACTTCACAAGTTTATGCAATATAATTTTTCTATATTGACGAAAATGTCCCTCCTATTTATGGGAGGGAAAAAGTGTGTAATTTTTTTTATAATGAAAAAAATGTCCCTCTTATTTGTGGTGATAGGAGATGCAGTGCAAAGGAAGAAGCTTGTTTTTGCAACCAAAGAAGGTCTAAAATTTGTATATGTTGTATATCTTAAGGTCAGTAGTCTCTTAATTCCTTATCTTTATTCATTTTCCTTTTCTTTTTTAGTAAAAGGTTTATCTTTTTTTAGGTCATCTGCCTTTGACTTTTAGAACTCCACCTGTTAGTACACCTAGACTAAGTTACTTACCAGGAATTGGAATGAGAAGAGTCTATTCGCTGGAGTTTAGACCACACTTAATGGATTTAGGGCTTGCAGATCCTCTTTTAGGCTCACCTGGATTTGCAGGAATTTAGACTGAACCCAAATACCCTTGAAAGATAAAAATGATAATGTATCGTATGATGATTTTTGTTTCTGGTTATACTATATAAGGTATTTGGTGACAGATCTTTTTCTACTAGTCCTACCGAAATGAAATGCATAATTAGATTTCTTGAACCTCATTATTCTGGAAAAAAAAAAGAATCATTCTTGAAACTTAATAGTAAGAAAAAAGCCAACATGGGATTTCTTTATTATAAGTGGATTTATAATTTTGAATAATCAAATCAAGCAAATGTTGATCTTCAAATGTTGTTCTTTTAGAGGTGGTTGGAATTGGACCTTAAGTTGGTTGATGATATAGGAATAGTGGGTGCTCCAAATGCATTAAAAATGATGTTTTTAAGTGTTATTAGTGTTGACATGTAATGTTAGGTAACTTGTTTTACATGTGCTATTTTTTTTTTGAAATGGATTATCATTCTTATGTATGGTATTTTATTTTGTATTATGATAATTTCAATCTATTGTTTAATTTTAAAAATAGTAATTCTATCAAAAATATATATTTTTAAAACATTTAAATTATGACACACAAATATGTTTCATATTCATTTATGACAGGGGATTTAACGATACACAATGCGTGTGCTAAAAGCGCGTTGTAAGGTTATGACACGCAAATGCGTGTCGTCTTCTATTATTACAGGATCTTCCTTGATACGCATTGTGTGTCATAACTGTGCATCATAAATGCATGTCGTAAAACTGTGTCATAAATGCGCATCATAAATACACAATGCGCAAAAGCGTGTCGTATCTCGATAACATACATACCTAGGTATGCATTAATACAAAAACACTAAAAGTATATGGAGGAAATTGAACATCGTGGTTAAACTCGGACAGTTATCTAGTCGTATTGGGGATAAATAGAGCCTAATTAACAATATTTATTCAAAATATGACCAACATGTGTTTGGGAGTGATCATGGTGGGCAATGAATCTAGAACCTTATCAGCCTTGTATCAAAAAATATTTTAAGGAAGTCAAACATAAACAATTAAAAATACTATAGGAGTATTTGGAATGCTATCTACATATACTCTCCTTACATACTTCTCACCCATGATGCAGACCCTATGGTCGGATTTCATCATCCAGGAGATCCCTACTTCCCCAACCAGGGGAATAATGGATGGTTAGAACTGGAACCGGAGGAAGAGCCGGAAGAAGAACCATATGAAGGAAAAATTTTATGTATCAAAAAGATTATTACTAATGAAAGCAGTTATATATATATATATATATATATATATATATATATATATATATATGTATATCTTTAACATATTATTAAGGTGCTGTTTGATTTTCTGAAGCAAAAATTCATGAAGTCTGCGGACCACCTCTGCAACCCTCTGCAGTAGAAGAGGTGGACCAAACGGCTGCAGACTATAATAAGAAGCGTGTTTGTTTTTTTAACATCTGCATACTGCTGCAGATATTAAAAAAATTAAAATAAACTAATTTTATAAACCGAAAATAGCTTTTTAATACGTAAAATTTAATAATGTATAACATTTCGGTAAAAATTAATGATATTTCAGTAAAAAAGAATGATATTTCAACAAAAAATAAAGATATTTTCAGTAAAAAATAATGATATTTCATCAAGAAATTATCATTATTGAATATAAAAAAAATGAAAAATAAATTCAATAAGAATAAACGAAAAAAAAAGGAAAAAAATGTGAAATAAAATTTTAATAACATATAATCAAATTTTCAGCAATAAAAAAAAGAAGAAGAAGAGGTTGGAAGAGGCAGTACAAGTGCTGCGCCAAACAGACCACGCGCAGAGGTTTTTAGCTCAGAAGACTTCTAAAAAACAAACAGCTGGGAGATGAAAAGTGTTGCGCGTGTACTGCGCCGCGCAGCAGTAAGAGGTTTGAAGTGGTTTTTTCCAAAAAACAAACAACACCTAAACATATTGCCTCTTTCTTGAAAATTAAGAGGTACAATATGTATTGCCTGGTGTACAATAATATTAAGCATATAATCACTCATATACGTATCACACTACACGGTATTACCTTACCCTAATCTCCTAAACAAACAATAGCCGCCATCAAACCAATTCTCATCAGTCTCCACCAAAGATGCAGTCCACCTTTTCCGTCACACACAGTAGCCCTAACCCTAGAAAACTTAGATCAACCAAGAAAAATTGGAATCGAGATCAATGATTTCCCTCGTGGGTCAGATGGGTTTGAACTGTTCTCAAGATTCTACTACAGCAATGGCGAAATCAATATCTCAGTATCCAATGTCTCCCACCGAAGATCCACGGCTGCCGACCTCCCTCACCGAAGACGTCCCATCATCCAAGAATGAAGTTAAGTAAAGAGATTTACGTTGCGGGAATGTCCTGGATTCGTTGTGGTTCAAACCAAAGAAGATAGAAAAATCCTTAAGTGCTCAGGGCTTGAAAGGAAACTCTTATAGATTCCTCTTCGAAGACCTGAAAGAGATGACACAACAAGCCAAATCTAAACCCATCGATTTCAAAGATGATCCCGTGCCTCGTGCTTTTCCCTTCGTTCATAAATCTGTTACTACTTATGGTACGTTTGAATGTCTCAGTGCCAATGGGTTTACTTCTCCCTCTCTCTCTCTATCTATCTCTCTCTCTCTCTCTCTCTCTCTCTTTCGCCTCTCTTTCTATCTCTCGATCGCCATCAGAAGGAAATGGAAACCGTCTTCTTTCCATCTCCTTCCTAATCAATTCGACAGGCATTGCAGTTTGACAGGCGTTTCTACTCATGCCTTTATGTTAATCCCATCCATTTCGGGGAGCCAAATTGAGAGGGCTCTGCCGAAACCCTAATTTCAAATTATCAGCGATGGTTAAGCTCGAATTTTCAAGCACATTGAAGAACTTGAAGGTAACTATAAGCCGATTCTTCATTTTTTCAGATACTTTTCAGCCTTTACTATGCATAACCTTGATCTCAATCCCCGGATTTTGAGTTAAGACTCAATTACGTTGTTCGTTTTTCAAATTTTTAAAAATACTTTCTTTTTTTGATTTTCTCTGTGAAATTTAAGGTGTTGTTCTTATTTATCTGTATGATATTTCATGCAAAGGGGAGCTAATAAAGAGGAGAAAACCAAAAAGGAAGAAGAAGTCACTCTTAATGGAAATTTCCCATCCTTTATTACTACCAAAAAATGGTATAACTCTTTGTTATAATTCTTTGGTTCTTTTAGTTGTTTGACTCTGCATACCAAAAGAAACCACACTTCGCTTTCCGGATCCATGAGCCATATTTCACCACCTTAGGCTAATATTTTAAGTTATTTGCACAAAAGAAAAAATCTACATGTATTGAACATCATAACATGCTCTTGGTGTTTTGCTTTATATTTTTCACACTTCTCGTATTTGCACAAAAGAAAAAATCTACCTGTATTGAAAAAATCTACATGTATTTTTCCTATTTTGATACTCTTTTATATTTTGCAAAAGAAAAAAACCACAACCAGTTACCCTAACTTAACTATATGTGTGTATATGTTTACAGGTATTGAAATGAGAACCATTGAAGTACCCATGTTCAAACCATCATGGGTCATGTTGATCATGGAAAGGTAATAAGTAATAGTTAGTGGATTAAATTGTTTATAAAAGACTATTTCTTGCTAATATCATCCTTTAATATATGTATATATGACTAAAATGAAATGGTTTTCAGTTTTCTCTATCACAACATCATACCTTGGTCATTTTATTAAATTATAACCTTTTTCATTTTTGTCTATTTACCCTACTTTCAGTTCCTTTATGGGAGGTTGAACAGTTGTAAAGTGTTGTTGGGGCTTTAACAGCAAGGATATGCTATCAAAAGTTCAAGAAGGAGAAAGAGTAATTTCATCTTATTATTTTTAGGTACAATATTGGGATTTTACAATTGGATTGCAATATCTTAAGAAGAGATGGTGTGTCGAGATATGAAAAGGGCATTATGGTCTATTTTGATAATATGTAAGAAAAAGCCATTATGCATTTTGGTTGCAGTTAGAGTAGAATCCATGAGAAAGAAGAAAAAAGTCATGAATTCCTTAAACGACCTTGCAAGTGTAGAAGGGGTTTTATATGGACATTTTGATAGGTGAGGCCTCTGTCACTGTATATTAATCAAGAAGTATTCAAGCTCTTATTTTTGTTCATATTTTAATGCTTTTATGAATGTGGCAGTTCCCTGTGTCATTTGAACTTCAGTGGCTTACAATGATCCTAAGCCAGAGTGGAAATAAGGTGTTTCAAGCTCGTATATTTCTATCCTTTTGATATGTGTTTTGTCTATTTCATTTTTTTTACCAGGAGCACATGTCGAGTTGTCCAAAAGAACCACAATGTGATGTCATTATGGTATTTTTTTGTTGCTGGATAAGATTTATATGATGTTATAGCCATTGCTGGAAACTATAAAGTATGCGCATAAACTTGGCTAAAATTATAATTACAACTTTTGTGCATTCTTTTTTGTGATATAAATCAGTGTTTATAGTTAATTGGTGGAATTACAATTACAACTTTCATATGTGTGTTGTGTGTGAGTATGTGTTTGACCAAAATACCTTTGGGTTAATTCAAGGAAAAACAACTTACTTTAATTATTATTTTTATTATATCATCCTACTTTTATTTTTTTCATGTTCAAATTTTATACTTAATAAATATAGTGTTGTAATAGAAAGAAAAAAAGTAGGATGCTATAATACAGTAAAGAATGAAAGTGTGTTGCTTTAATTGGAAGTATGACAGTTTAATACAAATCCCTAAGAAGAAAGAGAATTGGAAGTACGATAGTGTGATAAATAAGAAAAAAAAAAGTAAATATTATTAAATTGTTTACAAGATTGATAAACCAATCTCTAAGATTGAGGTGAAAGTTTGAGTTCTTAAGGTTAAATTTTTCATTTTAACCATATCATTACGATTGACTTTCACCATTTTCTAACATTAACCAGTCTTCATTCTATACTTTTTTTTCAAAATTTTTGATGCCTTGAAATTTTAAGAATTCATATCAATGATAATGCATGTACGATCTAAATTCTTAATATATATAACTCTCTTTTTGCATATACAGATTCATGAAATTTAAGCAATGAAGCAATTTGAAAAAACATGGAACCATTACTATTAGAAAAACATTATAAGCGAAGTGTAATTTTAAATAACGAGTGTTTATAATCCAATGTAATCATTTTTTTAAAGATAGATGCAAATAGAATTGTAACATTTAAATTTACTCCTCGGATACGATGGGATTGGACCTAATTAAATGATCCTTAAAGTGGTCAAAGGCGTGAATTTAGCTTCGTCGAAAATGGGATTTGGGCTATTCATATTTAAAATTAGTCATATTTCTATTTTTTATTAAATTAATTAAACACCAAGTATAAAGATACTATTACTTTAACAAAATAGTCAAAACATAACACCATCACTTCCAAGAAAGAAAAAACGATGGTTTCTTGAAAATGAAGGCGAATACAACAATCAATTTTATCTAAACGCAATTTGAAGGGTTTTTTTTTATTTATTTATTTTATAACTATGTAATATTGACCATCATGATAAAAAATTATGTATCAGAGTAATCTAATTAATAATTTTTGTTTTTAGTAACAAGTAATTTATAAATTTGGTGCTAAAGCTATTATTGTCTATCATATTAGTTCAAGCTTAAAAAATATACGATTTTTAAAATAAAAAAGAAAGCAGTTAAATATAATTAACAACTTTGCAAAATGAACCCACACTGACTTCTAGACAATCAATTTATTTCTACAAATTGTGATTTTCAACAAGCTAAGTAAGAAAAATGTGTAATTTCAATATTTTTTAATCTTCATTTTTAGTTAATAAAATATCTATTGTATTTTGATTGAACTATGAAATTTCAAATCTATTGCATTTTCGTTAAACATTATATTTTTGTTACCGGTCGTGAGACGTAGAACACGAGCACAGACTGTGGATTCTAGCATCGATAATCAACAAAAGTCCACTTCATATCATTCATTCAACATCGATTATCAAATAAAACTTCAAAATTGAGGTTAGAAAAAGACCAAATCGTTTTTTTTTTTTTTTTTTTTTTTGAAAAATTTCATATAATTCTCTATTAATCTACTCTTTTGTAAGATTTAAATAGTCAAAATATCATGTTTTTAACATTTTAAAAAAAGTCAAATTGTATGCACTCCAACTATTTGATAAAATGCATAAACTAAATTACCATGTTATATTCGTATATGAATATGTTTTCTGAGTATATGATTATTAAAACAAAAAAACAAATATGCAAGTCTGTATGTTATTCATATATGAATAACATATAAAAATTATATATATTTGTGAAAATACCTTGTAATATTCATATGTGAATATACTGTGTAATATTTATAAGTGAATATACTGTGTAATATTTATAAGTGAATATATCATCTAATATTCACAAATGAATATACTATGTAATATTCACATATGATATACCATGTAATACTATGTAATATTCAGATATGAAAATAGTATCTAATATTCATAAGTGAATATACCATCTAATATTCACAAGTGAATTACTATGTAATATTCATAAGTGAATGCATCGTCTAGTATTTAAATATGAATATACTATGTTTATTATATGCTATATTCATATATGAATGATACTTAAATTGTAAAAAAAAAAAAATTAATCATAGTTTATATTCATAACTGAATAACGAATGTACTGTACTAAAAACCTGATTCATTTTTATTCACTTATGAATAACGATAACTGAAATATTAAAAAACAAATTTGATTTTATCTTAAAACTATATCAATATGGATGTCTATTTGTAGAGAATAAAAAATCATGAATTTTGGTATATTTAAAATCATTTTTCGATAAAAATAGCTTCTTAAAAATAAAAAAAACGAAAAAACTATGTTTTTGTATATATTAAGGTAATAATTAGCATATTTTAAGGAAACATGTTTTGTTGTAAAACACATGTCTATTCTTTTCCCATTTCTGCCGGTACAACGGAGGCTTTTGCGGCAAAATAAATGTGTGGCTGAGAATGATTCTCCCATTCTCAACTTTTTTTTTTCTCAATTGAACCCTCCTCCTCTCTCTCTCTCTCTCCATATATATATATATATATATATATATATATATATATATATATATATATACTATCTCATAAAAGAAATCTACCTATTTCTAAAAGTAGATTGATTATAATAATAATATTTTTCTAAGACGTCCAAATGATGAAGCTGATAGTACAAGTAACCATTAATAAAATAATATTAAATTTTAACTAAATTTTGAATTCAAATATTTATCATCAAATCTCCTTATATTTCTCAGCAATTTGATATGGTTCCCTCAAATCCCGAATTCATTCAAATTTTGAACCCTTTTAGATATCCTTAAATTTAGCATGTTGATTCAAATATCCCTCCAATCACATATACCTCTTTGTTCCCTCCTCTGCTATAAAGCTCACCGTTCAGGAACAAAAAATGACTTCATCTCCCAAATAACACCATAGTTTGATTATTTTTTCTTTGACATGTACTTTATTTTGTAACATAATATTTTTATAGAGGAAACATATCACCGAAAGAATTTACACGCCCCACCGCTTTGCGCGGGCGCGGGTACACTGCTAGTATGTATGTATATATATATATATATATATATATATATATAATATATATATATATTACCGTGATGTTGTTACCTTCTATGTGTTCTATTGTTTTTATTTCATGTGATCATATGCATTAATTTACACGCACAACCGAATCACCAAAATTGTTCTATATACGAGGAATCTCAAAACCAGAATACACTAAACACTCATCATCTTTCTATTCTATAACAGAAGATGCCTAAAAGACCAAATCATGGAAACAACGTGGTACCAACACCATCAGAGGTAAACCTAGCTGCGTTCCAAGAAACAGTGCCAACTGCGGTCACTGCATCACTGGCATGGATTCACAATGGGAATAACAGTGAATGTAATGGGCAAGGAGCTGGAAGCTCAAACCAAGGGATGAAACAAGGACCTAAAAAGGTTTGTACTTAGAAGGATTTCACGAATACCAAGGCTCGAACCTTCAACGGAATGGGAGGCGTGATAACCCTAAAACGTTGGATAGAAAAAGTTGAATCAGTGTTTGAGATCTATGGATGCCCCGAGGAGTGTAAGGTGAAGTTAGCAGCTGCACATTTGTTGATCAAGCGCTTTCCTGGTGGAATGGTCATGTGGAGGCCATGACACTTCCAGTGGTGAATGATATGCCATGGGAGGAGCTTAAGGAAATGCTAATGGTGGAGTACTACCCAAGAGGGGATATCCAGAAAATGGAGTAGGAATTGTGGAATCTCACAGTTCAAAACTCCAACATCAATGCTTACATCTTGAGGTTTAGTGAATTGTCACTCCAATGTCCAGGCATGATCATATCCGAAGGAAAGAGGATTGAATGATTCATTTGGGGATTAACCTCTCCAATTTAAGGAAATGTAATAACAACAAACCGTGAAACGTATGACAGTGCTAAAAGACTAGCCAAAAAGTTATACGACCATGGCAACAGGAAGGTGAAAAAACTGGGGAAATTGAACTCAAGTAGGAGGGAAAAGGTAACAAGAAAAACAAGGACAACAAACAGAAAGGGCGACCAAACCATGAGTCATCGAAAAAGCAGCAAAATCTAGCACTCCATGGTGCTACTACTCAGGTTGCTTCAACACCACATGCTCTGGCCTTAACTATGCAAACTACTACCAGGCATTACTTGGGAACCTTACCCAAGTGTAAAAAATGTGGATTCCACCACCACGGAGAGTGCATAGATATGCAGTGTACAAATTGCAACCGTAATGGCCATACCGTTCGATACTGCAGATCACAACCTCAATAAAACCCATAACCAAACAACAACAACAATTAAACTGGGGCTAGTCACACTTGTTATAGATGTGGAGGAACTGGTCATATTAGATGCAATTTCCCCAAATCCAACAACAAATGGGTAGGAGGATCAGGAAGGATCCTGACTTTGGGTCAAGGTGAGGTACATCAAGACCTGACGGTTGTTACTGGTACGTTTCCACTTAACAATACTTACGCATGCATCTTACTCGATAGTGGAGATAAGTAAAGCTTTGTTAGTAACAAATTCAAACACATACTAAACCAACAATCCCAAAATCTAAACAAAGCCTTCACGGTGGACAT